GATACAAGTTCTTTTTCAATCGTTGTTATGCACAAAGGATACATCCCGAATTCTCTGTTCTCTTTTTTCAACTCTACATACACCCTGTAACCCATGTCATTGTGTATTTCCATTGGCGTGCTATTCCCTTCTACTTTGTATTGAATTTTAATGGACTTTAAGCTCAAATCTATGCCCAGTTGATTAGAAATTGACGCAACCAAATCATTATACGACACATACTCCTTTATCAGTATTCCCTCAATTGAATAATCGATGTAATTGCTCTCACCGTTCCACTTGCCAGAATGACGCAACAACACTGTTAAACTTGCCATATGTATAATGGAATTATACCGTATTTTGTATACAGTTATATAATCGCACTTTTTCTTGGTTGAAAAGAGAACTGGTTACAGAAAAATGGAGAACTGAAAATCCAGATGTTGCGCTGGTTTTCGCTATTTTTCTCGTTGAATCGTGAATGGAGGAATACAGATTTATGGGCAATAGTTTGTGTTAGTTGAGTTAAATTAGGAGAATATCAGGTGAATTGATTTCCTTTCCGTTTTAAACAAGTTCAACCTTCCATATTTTACGCGAAATACGTTACTGTATTCACGATAAGGCCGCGTGAATACATTTGAATACATCTCAAGCTTAGCTGGAATTTCCTGATTCACGCCTATTTTTGCTATTGTATTAATGAATACAATAGCTAAAATACATCAAATACATCTTATAACCACATAAAAGTTATCTATAGTTCGTAATATAGCAAAAGATATCTATAAATGACTAATTACTACTAAAAGATAGTGCTTATGAAAATTTCTGTTATAAAATATAATAAGTTTATTGATTTGAATCCACAGGTTGAACCCATCATCGCATAAAATATAATTCTTAAATTCCCGCAACTTTTGGTGATATCAATAGTTTGAAGTTTAATAATGCTAACCAAATGTCGTGTTAATTTATCGGACAATGATTTTTTCTTGTATGACGAATCAAATATTGTATAACTTATGCAAAATTTTATGTTGGGATTATTTGGTTAATGTAAGGCATTGCAGTCGACCCCTAAATGGTTCGTAGTATCTACTCCTATGTTTTTCCTAGGGTGCAAACAGCCTTGCACTCGGCATAAACAACAATAATGAAATATTCTTAAATTGCGCATTATTAGATTCTACAAAGCAATAAGTAGCAAATCATCATATATTACATAAGTCAATGTTATTTGCGCAACCAACACGGATTATGGTGGGATAGATAGAATCCCTCCATCCTTAACTAGAGGTATGGAGTTTGAGCCTTGAGTATGAAAAAAATTATATTAGGGAGTGCTTCCCCGTTAAATGAGCCTTACACGGCACGAATTCCGATATAATCGGGCTCCAATACACATACTGGACAATGAATGGATAAACCCAACCAAGAAAAAAAAATAGAAAAATGACATTGTATAGCCGTTCCAAAATAATTGTCAAAATATATATAATTTTTGTATATATATATATATATATATATATATATATATATATATATATATTTTCTTTCTATATATTATATACAAAAATATAAAATTTTATACACTTTTACGCCTATTGAATATCAATAGTTTCAATCGCGGACTAAAATGTTCTTTGCGGAAAAATAATGTTGCGCAGAAACCAAACATTCCATTAATGCTCATAATTGGATCTTCATCTAGCAAATCCATAAGCCATATTTTATGTTGGTGTGAATTGTGAATGGTATGACCGGAATACGTTATCCCAAAAAAAAGAATTTATTAATTCCTTATTGAAATTATCTTCCATTTACATTGAATTGGCGGAAAATATTTTATTTAAAAGAGTATATTTTAATCAAAAAAATGTAGAACAATTCTCATAGTCCGTACTCCGCGTCACTTATTTTAAGCTACGCTGCAACAATATTATTGTCAACCTTAAATACTCAAGTAATTATTCTCCAGCCTGCATATCCTCTGTGCTATATATAATAGTACCATGTATTACTTATTTTGTACTCAATTAAATACTACTCGTAAAAGTTTATCCTACAAAAACTTGTAAAATAAAATTGCTATGAACAGCATTTTGGTCACTGTCAATTGGACCTAGGAATTAGGATACTTACAGCCTTAAAATAGAATTAATTAGTGCTTTAAAAGGAGAACTCATCTTGTTAGGTGCGTTTGATGTCGTTTTCTTTGATGTCCTTGTGATTGGTCTATGAAAAGTTATACTCCCTCTAAAGCGACACAATATTAGTATAAAGTTTTCATTTTTTTTTTTTTGCTTCTTATCCTTACAATTTAATGAATTTTACCGGTCTTGTATTAATGTAACTAAGTGGGCGTTTGGATATAAGAATTATGAATTTTCGAAAAAATTGAATTTTTTTCCAAGTAAATATGGTATTTGAAAATAAAGTTGTGTTTGGACATGAATATAATTTGTAGCTGTTGTTAAATTTTTGTGATTGATTTGAAGGTAGATTTCTTAATCTGTGTGAAAACATTCAAAAAATCACTTATTTTGAACAGGAGGGAGTAACATATTAAATGAGATCAAATGTACTTTCATTTCTCTTAATTAGCTCTACTTCTGATGTAATATCATAAATCAAGTGCATGTTACACACTTTAAAATTTAAAGGCAACCTAATCTTCTTGTCTAATGTCTATAGCACATCTAATACCAAAATTTTCCAAGTTCCGAGAAAATACTATCATAAATTTTTCTTCTCACCCAGTGTTTTATATCCGTTTTGATACTCAAATAATTTGGATTTCACGCCGAACATTTACACTTTACATCTTTTTTGGAGGGTTGTTATGGTTGGATGAATATAACATTTAGATTCGTTTAATGATATCATGCACCAGTAATATGATAAATAAATTTGCAATATTATAAGGAAAAATTATGATACGAGATGAAATTATTACTAAAAAGGTAGGGTAAAAGATAAAATAAACTTATTTAATAATGATGAAGGCCGAGATGAAAGAAAAAGACAAGGTAACGATACGATCATACTAAATTGGTCGCTACATAAATTGATATTTTCCATTGTTACGTAACGACGAATTTAAATAAAATTTAAGTAACAATCAAAACAAACATTGTATTTAAGGTAACAATACAACACGTAACAAATCCAAACAAGCTAGGTACAATTTTTTTATTTTTTTTCGAAATCAGTATCTGGCCATAAAATTTTCAATTTTCACTTGAAGATGAACTTTCAAATTTTTCGAAAATTAGAAAAACTCCAAAAAAAACTATTTTTCAACATTTTCACTCAGATCACTCACAATGCAAAAACAACCTAAAATTATATTCATGTCCAAACACAACTCTACTTCTTAAATACCATACTTGAAAAAAATTTCACTTTTTTTCGGAATTTTACAATTCTTATGTCCAAATGCCCACTTACCCATCCACCAACAACAAACAGAAACAGAAAAGAGGGGAGAAAAACAAAAATATGAAAAGGGTAGAGTGAACTGTCACAATAATTGCATCAACTGCTTATTGGGTTTCGCACTTTGTTGCTGCTAACATTTCAAGATCTGCCACAAAATACCAAAACCCCTCCCCTTCAATTATTTATCTTTGCACGTCCCTCCACACCCCCCCTAAACCCCCCCCCCCCCACACCAATTATCTTCTTCTTCTTCTTCCCCATTGGATATTGAAACAGTTGAGAGAGAGAGAACCCATTTGAGCTAAAAGTTGTAAACAGTAGCACTAACATTACACACTTGACACCCACCCAACTTATATTTTTACTATTATTATTTGTGGTTGAAAATATAAACAAGGCTTAGACAAAAAAGATAAAATTCTGCACTCAGAAAAAGGTATATTCTTCTTTTCCCTTGTGTCAATTCTAAATCTCTTTCTCATTGTACATCCACTAAAACATTTGCTATTTTCTTCATTCTGTTTTGGTTAGGGTTTCAATTTTTTATTCACTGAGTCTGCTGCATTCAGTGATGGGTTAACTTATTCAACTATCAGTTTGCCAAAAGTTGAGATTTTAAAAGGAAGGTTTTGGGAACAATCGCGTCGTGGGACGGATTGATTAACCTAATTTCCCCTATTCTGTAGTTGACTTATATTGTCCAATTTTGTGTACCGGAAACACTTTTTAGGGTTTTATTTATTTGGGGGTTTTGGAGCTATGATCGGATGTTTTATTCTGTTAGAATGTTATTGTACGCAATAGTAGATTCTGAGTGGATTTAGGAGTTAGGTACAGGTGTATATGTATGGGAATGGCTGCAGAGTCTTCTAATACAGGGTTTCATCACCAAGCTTTATCGTTTCAATCGGGTGCAATAGGAAGCTCATCGTCTGATATGATGTTGATGGGCAATTACTACAGTAACCTTGGAATGAATTTCAATGTAAATAATAATGGCGGAGGAGGAGGAGGAGGAGGAGGAGGGATGTTGTTTTCTGGGAATCCAAGTGCGATGACAAACAGTGGCCGGAGTAGCAACAATAATTCAGTAATGAGTCAGTCTGGAGGTTGTTCGAGTTCTTTTCTTATTGATTCAGTGCCGGGGCTCAAGCATGACACCGGGCTGGCGGTAGAGTGGACCCTCGAGGAACAGTACAAACTGGATGAAGGACTTATCAAGTAGGTAGTTTCTTCCAGGTCTCTGGATGTGTGTATGTATGCTGAGATGTGCATTTTCTTTTATCCATGTTTGTTACATTTTACTGCTAATATTTTCATCTCTGTATATATTTGGTAATCTATCGTTCCATTTTGTTTGACACCATTTTATTTTGCATGGAGTTTACATGTTAATTTGATTTGTATATATAGATATTAGTGATAGTGGAAGAAAATAGTGAAGTAAGGCTGAATAAAGTTAGTTTGATAGTGGAAATGTTACATCAATTTAAATTTTGAATAGTTAAATGTATTTGAACTCTTGAAAGTTGAATGTCGTATATAACCCTCAGGGGTTGGCCTGGTGGCAATAGACTTGAGCCTTGGGGTTTGCTCCCTTTCAAGGTCTCAAGTTCGAAACCCACTGGGTGCAAACAATTTCTGAGGGCCATCGGACTGGGTAAAACCTGAATTAACCGTGGTGCACTTGCGGGAAACTCCTTGCCGAGGGCCTGTGCACCCCCGGGATTAGTCGGGGCTCTTAGAGACTCGGACACCCGGTGCAAATCAAAAAAAAAAGTTGAATGTCGTATATATTATCACTGACACGTGTCAAACAGTTCGAATGTCCTGAAATAGAAAGAGTGTTATATAAAATGGGAAGGAGTTTCACTAGTTATTATTTTCTGGAGTTTCATGAGATTTCTTGTAATTTCACTTGAGGATTAAATGAATTTTCGTATAATCATCAACAAATTGTAGTCCAAGCGTTTATGGGAAATATATATAGGAGAAGAAATTTTTTGGAGAGAAAATGTTCTAAGTTGCTTTTTCCAAGGTGATAAAGATTAGGAAAGGGAGTGGAAGTAGGCTCAGGCAAGACTCTCTTGAACCAATCTAGCCTTAATGTTTACTTAGTGTATTATACGTGTTATATGGCTTATTAATAATATAGATTGCTGATGAATCTAGTGAGGTCTCAGGTTTGCTCTTTGCCTTGTCTTCCTTCCATTCCTTTCATTTGTTTTACTCTTAGACTGCACATACCATAATCATCCAAGGGGAAACAACTGGAGCGGGTATAGTGGTCCTCTGTTGAAATAGCATTCCTTTTTATGGCAGTTCAGTCACTTCATTTTGTTGGATTTTAGCGCTATGATTATGTTTAAATGGTTGGGAAAAGTATTGACATGTGAAAGTAACATAGTTAAAAGAAAATTATAACCTGATTAAAATACTTTTGAAGGGGGAGGGGAGAGATAAGAAAGTATGTCAATTGTGCTTACAAAAAAAAGTATGCAATGGTAACAAAGAAAGTGATTCCTAGTAAGGAAACAAGGGACAATCCTAGTTGTGACTTGTGAAGGAAGCAGGCAAGTCTCCTAAATCTTGACAGATCTGAAAAGTTGTTATGCCCTTGAATTGCAGGGTTTGAAGATGAACAATTGAATAAAACTAAGGCTGAAAGTGGTTGGCGCTGCTAAGTTTTTGGTCATGCCTAGGCCAAGCTACAGTGAAAAGAAAGAGAGGAATGCTGCCTGTGGTAGACCCTGACAGCTTGGAAATAGGGAGAAAGATAAAATATAAACAGTCAAAGGAATCAGAAATTATAAACTTTCATGTATTCACAGCAAAGATAATTACAGAGCTAATGGCTAAGGGAAAGTTGAAGCATAACAGAAGTTGGGAAACAATAAATTGAGAAAGAAATGATAAGGCGAAAAATGTAAGCATTGGGCTTTAGAAGATTCTCTTTAGGCATCATACGATAAGATTAGACTTGCATCATATAAATCAGAATAAACATAATTGTGTATTCAAATTCTCTATTAGCCGGCGCATGAAGTAAATATATAGTTTTTTTCTAATTGACTGAGGCTGATAGTGCATAGAAAAGGAATCTATAAGATCAGGGTTCAAATTTCAGCAAGACAAAAGAAAAATGCTCTAGGTTCTGGTCTGTGTAACTTTTGGTGGCTTAGCTACTCCGATATAAACAAAGAAATCTACAAATCAACTTATCAAAAGAAAAACCTGAAAAACAACGAAGAATAGATAATATACCTCTAATGCTTTGACTAAACATTTCCAAATTAGCAGAACTATGAGTTTCACCATAAAGAGTTTGAAATACTATTCCAGAAAATTCTGCACGGTAGAGGAGTCAAAAAACTAATGAAAATACCTTTAACAAAATCTTGAAGCACATTATACTGAAAAAGTTGCAAAAGTATGTAAATGCATGTGAAAACTATATGAATAACTCCATCTTTTATACTGCTCCTAAAACTGATCAATCTTCTAAACATTTGATTTCTTTTAATTCATGGACCACATCCATATGAAATCCATCCCCGTGAATAATACATGTACAAGCTTGTCCTTGAAAGCTTATTTGGTTTGTGCATGTTAGTGTCTACCACCAAATTCTTGTTCCATGCGACCTTTCTTTTCCTACTTTTTTTTTTTTGATCAAGTAAGTAATTATCATTAATAAAAGGCATCCAGAAGATGCAGAATACAAGGTAGCAAAAAAGTTAGCTCCAGAACGATGTCTATGCTAGAATCAGGGAGCTAACAATTCAAAAAAATTATCAACATTGTTTACAGGGGAATGAAAATGCCAGCTAAACAATCTAACTAAGCATTTGGCCTTAAGAGTGTAAGTTGGCGTTGAGATCCCATCAAAGCACCTGCTATTCCTTTGAGTCCAGGCACACCAAAAAATTACGGCTGGGATCATCCTCCAGATTCTTCTGATGGTTTTATCAACTCTCCAAAAATGCCTACTAATAAATGCATCGTTGATGGTATGAGGCATGACCCAATGCAAACCAAAAATAGAATGGAAGAAGTTCCAGAGATCAGCTGTGTATGGGCAGTGTAGAAATAGGTGGCTGACATTCTCTGAACTATGGTGGCACAAATAGCATCTGTTTGCTAAGGTTATGCCTCTTTTGTTGAAGTTGTCCTGTGTTAGGCATGCTCCATAAGTGCTATCCAAGAAAAGCCTTAGAGAGGTAGTCTAATCTTCCACACATGCTTCCATGGCCAATCCTCAAGGATGCCTTTCTGAGAGCACAAATGATGATAACCAGCTTTGACTGTGTACCTCACTTCTTTAGAGCTTCCCCCCAAGATTTTGTCAGGTTGATGTGGATTAAAGCTATAGTCTTCCTAGGCTGCAAGGAGTGGGTTGATGTGGATTAAAGCTATGGTCTTCCAAGGCTGCAAGGAGTGTGAGTAGTTCATTGATTTCCCAATCTTGAAGATTTCTCATGAATGTGGGGTTCCAGCTATTGTTTTCTCTATATTGGGCAATAAAAGCATCCTTGTTACATCCAAGCTGATATAACCCTGGATAGGATTCTTGTAGGGTTGTGCTGCCAATACAATTGTCTTTCCAGAATTTAATATGTAGACCATTGCCAACTCTGAAGGATGTGTTCTGGAAAAATTCCTTCTTGTGACTGCGGATGTGTTTTTAAACTCCAACCCCATTCTTTTCCTTCTCTCTTTCACTTCACGTCCAAGACCACTGGTCTGGGTTGGGTGGTTAGGGTTATTCTTGGTAAAAACTTCCTGTCAGCGTCTGGGCTATCAATTAGTGTGGTTCTCTTCTTTTTGTGTGAACATATTTAGTGCGACGGAAAATTCGTCAAAGTGGTTATAGAATTATTTAGAAGCTTTGGGAACAGAGATCTCTTAGCAAATTATTTTATGGTTCAATCACGTGTAAAGTCTTCTCTCTCTCTCTCTCTCACACACACACACACACCTGCTTTTGCACACACAGACACTTTCTTTAGTGTAGTATAGAAGTTAAAGAATCTGTATTTCCCTGGAAATAAAATATACATTAGAATGAAATTAATTTAAGATCAAACACAATCTATAATGCCCATCAGTTGTTTTATGATCACGTGTACTCGGAGTACGAGTCTAGGCTTAGGTAACGGATAGTCCCATTTTGTTTGCGATTCATATTTTCTGCATAGTTTCAAATTTTACTTCTTAATGCCATAGATTCAACTGTAAATTTTATATTTCCTGAGGTAGTTTTTCAAAAGTGAGCCAAGTGGGAACACTTGAATTTGAGGCTTTCCAGGTTTAACCATATAAAGAGAACATCCTTGCAAAGTTGTTTAGCCCTTCCAAACTTCTTGACAACATTATCCCGTTCCTCCTAATTGTCAAAAAACTTTTTCCTTTGCTCCATTATGATTATCTCTTGTTCACTATGCGCTTTCCGTAACTCTCCTCCTTAAATGAACATTTCTTTCATCCATCTCTCAAGTCAGTTGGGTTGTGTGTGTGTGGGGGGGGGGGGGGGGGGAG